AAAAAAATCTAGATGTGAATTAGACAACCTGTTATTAATTTGTAAGCCAGACGGGGTGGTTGTTCTACTCCCAGATGTACCCACATCGGGTAAACAAAAAATTGAAAAAACAATATGAAAAAAAAATCCTAAAATGTGCGACATCAAAGATGATAAAATGTATAGTTTTTGAATCTAGGTATTCAGGTGTATCCAGTTACTACCGATTAGCCTGAAAATTTTGAGTAAAAAGCCTTACAAATCACAGCAGGAGATAAAATTTCCATGACACAAAAAGCAATAACCATCAAGAAAAACCAATGCAGCTTGCCAATCTGAAAGAGTAAATCAGCCTGAATATCCATGGCGAGCATCGAAATTCTTCGGAAGAAACTCCTTGTGCCACTGGCCTATTCGGTCACCACAGCGTTTACCGGCATGCATATCCCACCAGAAAACCATCTTATATATCGTCCAACTTTTCGTCTCCACTATATCCATCACCAACGCCATTACCTAGGAACAAACATACATAATTTGTCAATAATGCATATTCTGATGAAAAGCGACCAACACAACAAGGTTACAATTGGACATTTAGATGAACTGACAGATGCTCGCCATAGATAAACAAAATACACTGATCTCGCAAACAGAGGACGTCTGTGCTCAGAGATCAAAATAGCATACTCATTCACCTCACAGCAATACACATGGAAATGGAGCAATAGGACATAAAACAGAACTACTGCAAGACAAAAAACATGATCTGGAAATCATGTCAAGAAAACACATTCCTGTATATCAAAAGCAATCAAAATTAGAACACGCCATCTCTAAAAAGAACACAAGTGGTGATAGGTAATTAGCTATTCAGATTTAAAGAAGTCTGATAAGAGGCAAAACAAATTGAATTTATTTTTCCACTGGTTAAATGGAGCACTTACAAGTTAAAACAGGGTGCTTCAACATGGGAAAAAATGAACGATCATGTACAAAGTTAAGGGCTAAAAGCAAGTCATTATCATGGTACAAAAAGTTATAGCAATAAATATCAAATGGCATGAAAGTACCGCTGAAAGAATGTAACTAGCATGAAGATGGCATGAAAGTACCGCTGAAAGAATGTAACTAGCATGAAGGTTCCAAATGGCTATCCACATACAAATAATTCTGGCAGTAAAAGAAACAATTGAGACGACACGTACTAAAATGATCATTACAAAACTACTCCCTCCATCCGGGTTTGTTGAGTCCCCTTGTATTTCGGGTCAAATTTTGACATCTATATAACTAACGGAATATGACGTATATGCTACAAAAAGTGTATTGTTGGATTTGTATTCGAAAGAGGTTTTTCCATACTATATATAACTTTGTGACATGTAGTTTATATTTTAGTAGTTATTACAAGAGGAGAGGTTTTCTTCCTTTCTTTGAGTGTTTCCTTTCATGCCGTGTACAGGAGTAATTGAGCAGTCTTCAGAGCATGACCAATTGATGCTTCAAACGGAGTTACTTACTGTTACCGCCACCGATCCATTGTGCTATTTCACAATGGCATGATGCCTTTGCAAATCTGTGGGAACTATATTTTAACTACCATCTTCAATGGAAAAGGCAATGGCCTGCTACGCATCCACATGAAGGCATTTTATAAGCGAAGATGAAGATTTCATAAAGTACAGCAACACGCCTGGAAAGAAGGATCAGCCATGCTCCTTGTCATGCCACTCTTCTCAGAAAGGAATGGTAGAAGAGTATGTTTTGGGGGAGTATGTGCAGAAGCAGAACTGCTGTGTCATTGTGCTATTTCACAAATTTCAAAAGTCTTGACAGGTAGTTGTGTATTTTATATGTGCAGAACTGATGTGTTTTTGGTGGACCTATGTATTCTTCATTGACACTATTCTTGCTTGTTTCAGAGATGCATTTCTGAACTGAAGGGTAGGGTTGCTAGAGGACATAGCAGCTCTCAGCTCTGAGTAACAACACGTCGAGTTGAGTGATTCATGTCATCCATGAAAATAAAATGGAAGCTCCCTAAGAAACACAGAAGTTGTTAGTATTATAATTTAGTTTTCGGACTTTGCAGGTTTCTATGAATGCTTTTGCGGACCTGTGATTCTCTCTTATTGTTACAGGAATCTGGAAGCGGGCCTGGAGATTCAGAGGTGCGGTGGAAAATGTTGGATGCAAGCCAAGCAAAGTCAAGCTGGCGGAGGAGCAGAGAGCTCCCATGGAGGCTAACCGGCTTAAGGCACCAGAGAGGGCGGTAGCAGCTCGGCCCGGCATCTCAATCGCAATCTACCGAAACTACCACAACTTTGGCGGCTGCAGGATCCTGAATCACTTGGCCTTGCCTGCTTTGGCGATGTAGCATATACCCCATTGTGTTTGTTAAGATGCAAAGAACATCTATTTTCTCCTGATTTGTTTGCTAGAAATGTTTGTGGAAGTTGCTACTTTGGTGCTGATGGTGGTCACGGTAATCATGGGTGTGTTCAGGTGTATCAAGTGCCTTTATTTTTGGCTCCTGTTTGCAGCCATTTGAACATGAAAAAAAAAAGGTTTCTGGAATCCGTGTGCATGTTCTCATCTCACTTTTGAGTACATTAATATGAAACCTGATGATATGAAAGTTGGTGTTTGCATGCACCAGGTTTGTATGATGTCCATCTGCATGCTTCATGAATAGCCAGCCTCTAGATGTTGTTGCTTCAAATTCCTAACTGAAAATATTAGGTTCTATGGAATGGAACCATCTATTTGCAGAGAATACCAACAAACATGCATCCTCGGTGCACAAGAAATTGGCAGGAACTGTAGATGAACTAATCAGAAACATCTTAATAAAAGAAATTAACTAACTCATCCGCTCATGCAGAGAAAAGCTTAGTTCTCACTTTTAGACCAAGGAACACACAGAATATATATTATATAACCAAAGTCGACACAATTGGCCAAGCTAATCTTGCAACACAAACATCAGTACGATTCTTAGACCCCAGTGTCTGTTAAAGTCAACACAATACGGACATGTCCTGCTTACGTACATACATGCATATGATTAATACAGCCATATCAAACTACATAATGACTACATGCTGGCAGGTTTGTAGCACCATCTTGAAACTCCTCCATCCAACTACAGATGTTATGGCCCAAGCAAGACCATAGAAGCAGCTCACAGGCGAGCTCAGATCTGCATACATATACTCAGTTAGGAATTTGAAGCCACAACAGTGGATGCAATGGGGATCTTTCCTATCTCATTTTCCTAGGAGGGAGGCATGCCCTAAATTGCAGAGTACAATATAGCTTAAGAACAAAGGTGCACAATCTGCTTATTGCTGCTCCCCAAGGATCCCAGAGCCATCTTATTGCAGTTTGGAAGCAATATTATAAGAAATTAGCAGACATGACATGTAAACTCTATGTTCTTGAAAGCACAACATGGTAAATAAGGAGTACTCGCAAATAGACGACTCCGGGCCTTCAAACATCAACTTACAAAGATTCCATAACGCAACATGGTATTATGCAAGATTCCTTTTTTGAACATCATCATCGTTCAATTGAATGATGATGTGTAAGTACAAAGTATGACTAAAGATGTACTCCCTCTGTAAAGAAATATAAGAGCGTTTAGATCACTAAGTAGTGATATAAACGCTCTTATACTTCTTTAAAGAGGGAGTACTATATGAAGATGCCAGCACGAAAGCCATTTTCACTCCTAAGATCTGGAGCAAATAAAACTAGTTTTCCAAATCAGTATGTAATCACATTTTTATCCACTAACCTCCTCAATCAAATGTAATGATTAAACAGGTGTGCAGAGACAACCCATGCATTGGCTACCTCTAGCTAGTTTGACAAGGAGGTCAAGCCTAACAGAACAATGATTAACTTTCTACATAACCGTGCGAGTACAACAAGCAAATCATGCGCCTAATGGCAACATAAAATAAAATACTTGGGCTTACCAGTTGATCAGATAGTTGGTTCCCGTAACACCGGTGGGAAGCTAAAGTATGGGAGGGCACACTTGCCATTGAAGAAGGGCACCAACCTGGAACAGACCTTGGTCATTTCATAAGTCTTTACCTCCATTGAGTAACATTCCTCATCGTCAACATGACTACCTACAGGAGCGCCTTGGAAGAACAAGAATCCTTCGGCTGCAACCAACACGGAAATGTAACAGTCATGATACTGCTCAGGCAGCCGTATGATCTTCTCCAGCTCCCATTCTTGGGAATTATGCTGCAGAGAGGTATGGTAGAGAGCAAAGGACCCGTGTTGACGGACAAGAGAAAACATCCCGAGGGCTCCTTGTGTACCCGCAACAACTGCAATCAGACGTGGACGAACAAGGCTTTTGTCATGGCTCTGTTCATGCAGATCCCTGAGCTCCAGATGATAGCCGGTGAGAAGATCGACAGTGGAGAACCTCATGGTGCGCATGTCCAGCACCATCAAATGGTCACTCCAGTCATAACGATCTGTCCAGTAGAAGCAGCCGCGCACGCAGTTAAAACTGAACATGAGTTCCAAACATGGGAAGATGGGAGACTCGGCCATAGACATACACCATTGCCTCGTTGTGGATGAAAAGACAAAGAGGACGAGCTGTGTCGCGTATTTTGCAAAGCATATCACCTTAAAGGGCTCCTCCTCGCCATCGTCCATGGTGGAGGGAGCGAGCACGGGCTCGAATGCCGAAAGGGGATCTTGTGGCTGGGTGGCAAGGGTATAGTTGGAAGCCAATCACGCGAGCACACGTCGCGCCCTGCACTGCAATGCCGCGGCGATTCGTCCATCTAACCACCCCACTTTATGAGCTAGTCGGCAGTCACCTGCCCATCCACTCACAAGAGCACACGTGGTGCTTTCTCCACCCTCCAACGGCCTATAAATAGTGCCTCGTGATGCACTTGCTTTACACAGCCACCTTCCTCACACAACCAAACAGCAGAACCAGTGTCAGATTTCCCGAGGGACAAGTTGAGCGCAAGATGGAGCAACAGGGGCGCGGCGCAGGCGAGAAGAAGGGCGTCGTGGAGAGCATCACGGAGAAGCTCCCCGGTGGCCACGGTGATCACCAGCAGACCACCGGTGATACATACGGGCAGCAGGGACACGGCGCCGGAGTTACCGGCACAGGCACCGGCACCGGCGAGAAGAAGGGCGTCATCGAGAACATCAAGGAGAAGCTCCCCGGTGGCCACGGTGGCCCCCAGCACACCACTGGAATGACCGGCTCGGAGACGCATGCCACCACGGCCACCACCGATGGCAACTACGGGAAGTCGGGACACACCGGCACTGACGGCACCGGTGAGAACAAGAGCATCATGGACAAGATCAAGGTCAAGCTGCCTGGACAGCACTAAGCCCAGCCGGTCGCCCCGCTACCTTTGCAGAATATATAATAAGATGGCCAATTTCCACCGTGTATACATTAACTGAGTCTAGTTTAACTAGCTCACTTGGTCGTTGGAGGAGCGCCCGAGTTCATCTGGGTTTAAGTTTTCGTTTGTTTACAATTTGCCTACTTTGATGTGGAAATTTCCTCTTGGTTCAAACCGTGTATGGTATGCTATGGTATCTATAATATACATCTATATCTATACTTACTATTAAAAATGCAAACATGAATTCTCCTATAACCACACCACAAAATATACACAGGATAACCTGCACCCCACGATCAATTCCATCTAATAAAATCTAACAGCACATATTGATTCGGTGGTCCATCCAATTGGATGGCTCAGATTCAATGTTCTGCCACCCACGTCTGCCCCGCACACGTTTTGCCCTTGAAATCGATTGGCATCACGATTTTCTCACTTAAACACCGCCGCCACACCTCCATACGTCGCCCAGCCCTAGCTCCAGTAGCCTCGCCGCCCATTACGCGACGGCGCCAACGCCGACGATTTCTACTGGGATGTCGCGGACGAGCGAGGCAGAGTTCCAGGTCATCGAGGCCGCCTACGCCGTCGAGTCTGCCAAGCCGCCTGCCCATGACACAGGCAGTGGAGACACCCAACATCGCCACCCTGTCCATCCTCGAGCGAACCTGGTCCCAACAGTCGGCGGTGCTGCCTCGCCGGCATTGATCCTCTCGCCTCCATCTTGCCAAGGTAGAGCTCCCCTCTTATTGTTTCCCATATCCCTTTCTTTCAAAATTCTAATACCAAAGAGATATCAACCGACGTTGCGCTCCGTCATGGATATTGCATCCTTCCACCGGCATCAACAAGACGTCTATACTATCTACCTGCATGCTTAGGCCAGCGCTTGTGTGCGTCCATGTTGCCGTATGCTTCCAATCGGTTCAGAAGAAATCCATCTTGTATGTGCATACCCGTCAGAAAGCATAAAGCACTCTGACTCTGGTGAATCCCTTTGGGAGTTCATGGCTGTGCCAAAAATTGGTACCGGGTCACAGGTTGTTCGTCCATGATTTTCAAAAAGCAAGCACAAGATCATGGTGTTACTGAAGTGAGAAGATAATTGATCTATTAACCAATTGTGCGTCAAGCCTGCGTCAATGGTGTTTCCAATGATCAACTATCCCCCTCTTTTGTAGTATTGGCAAAAACCGTGCCAATGTTGCTACAGTTTCATCACCAAAAAAGAGAATCTAGTTTTGGTAAATTAATTTGTTTAATAATATGTTCATTACTGATCCTGAACAAGGAGTAGACATATTATAGTTTCTAAATCTTCTCTGTCGGGATCATAGGCAAGAAGGACAGCTGGAGTCGCCGCCGTCGCTTATGGAGCTCCACACCATATCCCTTTCTTTCAAGACTAAGTGCAAACGGTGAACTCTTTGCCAAACAAGAAGATATGAGGATCAGGCGTATATAGTAATTCATGTGTAGTAGTGTGGATTATGGTCACATCTTCTCTAGGACTGCAGATAGCTATGTCAATAAAAATGGATATTCCGCATTTTTTTCTGAATTTTGAGTAAGGGTTCATGTATAAGGTATGCTATAGTTCTGACTTTGGGCACTGATCAATTCTTCACATGCAGGAACGTGGAGAGATGAATCTGGTGGATTGTAGCCGCAAGGTGAGTGGCTTGATCCTTAATTAATCCAGTTAAATTTCATGGATTATTGATTAGCTTTTTAGTAAGCAATTTTTTGTACAACCGATTGTAGGGATACTGCTGTAGTATGTGGGAGAAAGAGTATGTCTGCACCTGATGGTGATCTGCCAAAGTTTTGTACTTTCTAGGTAAATTTTCAACATGGGAAGATTCCTCAATGGCAACAATGTACCATGATAGTGATAATGATATACATCCTATGCTGAATAAGAGCAAGACAGAAAAGAGTAAAAGATTCTCTCCGAGGTAATTACGGATTGCTTCCAGTTATTTTCAATTCCAAGTAATAAAGAATATAAGGTTACAATTCATTACCTGAAAAAACAAATCTTTGTAGTCATAGTAATGTCTTCTCCAATTGACCATACCCTTAAGCATTTGATGAAAATGGATATATCATCAAGAGCCTTGCAAGCAAATTTATCTACAACAGGAAACACACAATGATGACATATCAGATATTCCAAATCACTATATGAAATGTTTAATGTTTACTTCCCCTTGTAACGTTAGCTTATCTAGCAAATTTCTGTTATTCTGTACATCTGATTGATAAGTTTCAAATAGTACAAGAATGAGATATCCAGATATAATTAGAGTAGGGATCGACACTAAAACCTCTTGACACACTCATTTGAAAGTCAAGTATATTTATGCAGCAACACCTTATTGCTCCTAGAGAAGATACCATTACTGCTGCTCATAGGAAGAAATATTACACCATCAGTTGAGTTTAGCTAAATCTGCAGTTTTCATTACAATGCATGAATCTTGTTTATCTTGCTTCAAATGGACAAAAAAGAGAGGATGAAGTACCCATCTTCCAGTCATCTGGCAAGCAACAGTCCAGTGCGTATTGAAGACCTTAGCAAGCATCATCGAGTGCCATTGTATCTTGAATAACACAATTGTACAGGGATCTTGAATAGCACATCAAACAGAGGCACACCTAATTGAAATTACATTGGTACATTACTACATGGTAAACTGTACAGTACAAATTAAAATTGAAGGATAGGATAATATAGAGAGTTGACATGAAGTAATGTCGAAGAACTAAGATCAAATCAGAATTAATACTGACGGTCAATACAGAAATGAGAATCCATTTGACAATAACATTGCACATACCAGTGGAAGCATCGAACTGTGCCCAGATATTTTTGCACCCCCACGCCCGCTCCTTGTTGTCTTGTTGCGGGCCTCCGCGCTGGGTCGCCCGTGAGCATGCCGAGCTCGAGCGCATCCTTCGGCACTTCGGCGAATGGATTCGAAGAAGGACGGGGAAGAGCAGGGGCGTGGAAAGTCTCGCACCTCCGACGGAGCCTAGCGCTGGGATGCTCGCGAGCATGCCAAGCTCGAGGACCTCCTCGGCCACTTGGGCGACCGGATTCGACGAAAAGGCGGGGAAGAAGGGGAGGGGTGGCCTGAGGAGGTGGGGAGAGGGAGTTGGCAACCAAGGAATCGATCTCAAGTCCGCGCACTTGTATAGCAAGGTACCTAACCACTACGGCCGATTGATTCTTGTGGTGATATGGCAATGCGAATACTATAGAACTAGTCGCATCACCAGATCCGGTTATTTTTTTCGTTCTTTTCTTGCAATTTCAGAATATTTTTTTAAAATGTAAGAATGTTTTTACGAACAAACACGAGTTTTAACTTTCTTTTAGCATTTTTTTGAATATGTAATCAAATTTTAAAAAAGGAACAATTTTTAAGTTGTGGACAAATATTGAAAAACAGGAACATTTTTTAAAATTACGATCAGTTTTGCTAAAAACAGGCAAGTTTTTTGAAAATGTGAACAATATTTTGAATTTTTGAAAAAAAACTAAAAACAGGAACATATTTTGAATTTGTGAACAAATCATGAAAAAATATGAACACTTTGTTAAATACCGAACACAAATTCACAATCATGAACAAGTTTTGACAAAATGCGAACTATTTTTGAATTTGTGAACACTTTTCAAAAAGAGGAGCATTTATTAATTCGTGAAGAAATTCTGAGAGAAGGAACATTTTTTAATTTGTGAGTTTTTTTTAAAACGGGAACATTTTAGTAGAATGACGAACAATTTTTAAAGATGTGCTTTTTCTTAAAGAAAAAAGTACCAAACAAAATTTGCAAAACGATCATTTTTTGAACATTGCAAACAATTTTTGAAACATGAACAATTTTTGAAACATTCCAAAAAAATGTTCTCGAACCTGAAATTTGTTCAAAAATTCAAAAAATGGTCTATATATTGAAAAAGTGCGTACATATTTTGAATTTCTCAATATTTTCATAGACAAGAACTTTTTTTGCCTACGCGAACAAAATATTTGAAACTGCAGAAAATGGTTTCGAAGCTGCGAAAAAATTATGAAATTCTGAAAAAAAAATTAAACCATGAACATTTTTTGAATTTTTGAAGAAATATTTGAAAATGGAACATTTCATGAAATTGTGAACATTTTTTAAAGAAAGCGAACAAATTTTGCAAGTTATGAACAAAATTTGAAAACATGAACATTTTCGGTAAAAATGAACAAAAGTTGTAAAATGCGAACATTTTTTAACAAGAAAAATAAATCTGAGAAAGAAAAATGAAAATGAAAAGAAAAGAAAATCGAAGAAAGGAGACAAAAAAAGAAATAAGTAAAGAAAATAAACAGGAAAAGGAAACAATGAGAGGAAAGGAAAAAGAAACAGAAAAAAAGAAAAATGAAATGATATATAAACAGAAAAGAAAGAAATCCCATTCAGGAACCTTATACGTAGAAGGTTCCCAAAACCGTAAAAAAACAGCTGGGAACCTAGGTTCCCAAAACTGGGAACGCTGAAAGCGCTTAAACAGGCCGGCCCAATACGACCTATCGGATCTACCGCCTCTGCGAACCTGCAACTTCTTGCCGCAGAGAGCGGCGAATAAGAAATTCTGGGCCTAACTGAGGGAACCGGCTCCATGTCCATTGATATGGGCCAGAAAATTACCAAAAGTCCAATCAATCTAGCCCAGCCGTTCGTCTGATGCCTAGCGCTCGGCTGAGTTGTTTTACCAGCTAATTAGCGATTGCGTTCTTAAATAGGAGACCAAGCTAGCTGCTAGGTAGGCAATGAATGAATCATATCTAAATTTAAAATATTTCTAAAGGTGTAGTTAGATTTCAGTGGACTTAGTGTAAGTTGAGTGATATTAGCATGTTTATTTTTCAAAAAAATAACATTTTTTATTTGGATTTATGTTTTCTAAATTTTAATACATGAATATATTT